TCCAGTTCCTCAGTCACACTGCCCATATTTCAAATGCTCAACTGCCACATGCTATTTGGCTACCATTAGTGGACGGTGCATATTTTAAAACATTTTCATCGCTGTAGAATGCTGTTGGATGGCTCTAATCTAGTCCATAATGTGACACTCATTCTTTTTTTTCTTTTTATCCTCACTCAAGGATATTTTTTTTATCAATTAGAGAGAGAGAAACATCGATGTGAGAAAGAATAATCACTATGGGAGTGAAACATCGATCAACTGCCTCCCTCATGCCCCCCAACTGGGGATCAAATTCAAAACCTAGGTATATGCCCTGACCCGGAACCAAACCAGCAACCTTTTGGCATAGGAGACAATGCTCTAACCAACTGAATCACCTGGCCAGGGAGAGCGAGAGAGAGAAACATCGATGTGAGAAAGAATGATCACTATGAGAGTGAAACATCCTCCCGCATGCCCCCCAACTGGGGATCAAATCCAAAACCTAGGTATATGCCCTGACCGGGAACCAAACCAGCAACCTTTTGGCGTAGGAGACAATGCTCTAACCAACTGAATTACCTGGCCAGGACATAGCACTCATTCTTTGACCTTGGGCAAATTCCTTAACCCTACCAGACCGCTGTACTGATTTTTCGGTAATTTCCACACAAAGGTGAAATATTGGCGCTAGATGAAAGGTAGACCTATTTCCTACAATGTCTCCAAGTTCCATCTTATTCTAACCACTTGTTTGCATGTAACTAACAGTTTTCTATATCATGTTGGTTTTTTCTCTTTAATGCTCAGGAGCCCAGGTATAGGGGACAGTTAGCTTCAGGGCCTCAGGTCTGGTAGGGTTAACTCACAGTTTCTTAACCTCAGCACTATTGACATTTTGGAACAGATCATTCTTGGGCTGCCCTGTGTATTGTGGGAATTTTAGCAGCATCCCTGGTCTCTACCCACTAGATACCAATAGCACTCCATCAGTTGTGACAACCAAAGATGTCTCCAGACCTTGCCAAATGTCCCCTGGGGGTGCAAAATTGCCCAGATTGAGAACCACAGCCTTCACTGCTTTGCGCTTTAGTTTCCTCTTCAACTAAAGAGCTTGCATTCTGCTAAGAGGACCCTCCCATTCAGCTCTAACATTCAATATGTCCAGAACCACCTAGCTTCTTCTCTCATCAAGGACTAATTTCTTGACTGCTCTCTTTTCATACTGCTGCTTGATTATACCCTGGCTGTCACTAATGCTGGCAACTCTCAATGATGAGTATTGAAATACTGAGGAAGAGAGCAGAGGTGATGTGTAGACATGCCTCTATGTCCGTGAGTTTTATTGGCTTTGAAGATGCATTGACACCGGTTTTGTCCATCACTCACTCTGCTCAGGCATGTCTGGTTTTATCATTGCTGGAATCATCTGCTGAGCCCTTGAATAGAGGCATTTCTCTCAGCCCTGTTGTTGCCTCCAGCACAACCTGTATAAGTGCTTTCATTCCGCAAGCTGTCCTGTAAGGGTTTTGTTTTTAATTGGGTTCCGCTTATATCTGACATTGCCCTTGTTTTGTGGAATTTAGAGAAACCCCCAATGGCCTTAACTGGACTAGGAACTCCTTAAGAGCAGAAACCCTGTTGTATTTATCCTCAGCACTTAGCACAGCGTCTATTGGTATTTGACAGTTGGCGTCTAAATGAATGGATGACCATACATTTTCCGTGGGGAAATAACATGGCAGTCTACGGGCTTGGCTACTCCAAAGCATAGCCCACAGACTGGCAGTATGGGGCTCACCCTGGCGCTTGTTAGAGAGAGAGTCTCCAGCCTTCCCCCAGACCTGTACAGTCACAGTGGGATTTAGGACTTCAACATATGAATTGGAGGGGGCCACAAAATTCAGTCCATACAGTGAAGGGTCCCAGGTTCGATTCCAAACAAGGGCACATGCCTGGATTGCGGGCTCAATCCCCAGTAGGGGCCATGCAGGAGGCAGCCGATCAATGATTCTCTCTCATCATTGATGTTTCTATCTCACTCTCCCTGTCTGAAATCAATAAAAAATATATTTAATAAATAAATAAATAAAGTGATCACGTGTAAAGGGCTGTTTGCCTGATTTGTGGAGAGAAGGGGAGAGAAGCTTCCTTTTGTTTGGCCGTTGTACACCCTCATCTCATTTATTTTGCTTGACTGCCTTATGAGCTAGAAAATGTTACCCATTTCAGGAATTTGGAAACAGACTCCTTGAGGTTAAGTAATCTTGAAGGTTTCACAGCTAGAACCTACATTAAAAACTGTCTTAAAAGTTTTCCCGACCACAATGGGTAGTTTTTCCCCAAAAGGGAAGCCAGCTCCCCACAGAGCCCAAGGACATCAGGAAAAAGCTAAGAGACCATGTGACGGGAGCTTGTGGGTGAGAGCAAAGGTGGAGTGAGATGCAGATACAGGGGCAGGCAGGGCCTGGAAGCAGGTGAGGATCCCGGGCTTTATTCTCAGTGCGAGTGGAAGCCAGCAGAGGGTGTTAGGAAGGAGAATGACTGACATTTTCGCGATCTCTCTGGACATTTGTAGGAATGTGAAAAGGGAAACCAGTTAGGAAGCCTGTGCCGAAGGCCAGGTGAGAGACACTGCAGGTGGCCTGGACGAGGGTGGTAGTGGCAGTGTAGACAGAGAAGTGAATGCACAGGAGACACACTGGGAGAGGGAGTTGACAAGACTTGAAGGACTAGATTGGAAGGGAAGCCATCAGGAAAAGGGGGAATCAAGGATGATTCTTCGGTATCTGTGGGAGCTACTGGGTGGAGGGTGACATTTCCTGAGAGAGGAATCTGAGGGGTGACTGGAATCAGGAATCTAATGCTCACCTAGGGATAGTAGCACCATTCGTTCATTCATTCATTTATTCTGCATTGGTTGACTGCTCTGTTCTTAGCACTGGGACATCAGCTACAAACAAGACTGCCTTTAGGGAGCTTACAGAGCAAGATATTGTGGGTTGGGGGCTGAATGGGGATTAGATGGAGGAGACCTGGCTTAGTGTGTATGTGTTGGTAGTGTGTGTGTCAGAGATCCCAGTGTGTACACATTTTGACGACCAAGTCTGAAGATAGGTGAAGCCTCACCTCCAACCGAATCGCCTTCTTGATGCTGACGGGTTTGGAGGGTTGGAAGTGCACTTGCAGGCTATAGTCAGCCTTGTGGAGGGGGGGTGGGGATGGTGCCCTGCAGCATGGACACGGAGAAGTCATCTCTGGTGCTCCAGGCTTGTGCTCCAGGCCAGGCCACGGGCAGGGCCGTGACTGCAGGGAACTACTTTGGATTCTTTTCTCAGCGACCAAAAGACATTTTGTCAGTTTCTAATGATTTTGTCATATTATGTCAGGTATCAGGAAAAACTTCTGGTTATTTCAATTATAGTTTATTTCAATTATAGTTCACTAATTAATATTTATCAGGGAAGGGGCCTGATGGTATTGTTCAAAAAGGGGACATATATTTCATGTTAAAATTTTCACACTTGAGCCCTGGCTGGGTGGGTTCAGTTGGTTGGAGCATCGTCCCATTCCAAAGGTTTCGGATTTAATCCCAGGTCAGGGTGAGTACGGGAGGCAACTGATCCATGTTTCTTTCTCACATCGATGTTTGTTTGTTTTCTCTCTCTCTCTCCCTATCTCTGTCCTCCTCCCTCTTTCCTCTCACTCTAAAATCTATTTTAAAAAGCCATATCTTTGGGTGAGTATTTAAAAAAAATGTTTTCACACTTGAACATCTCCATGGTTGTTTTAACTGCCACGGTCAGTTTTCCAAAGTCCATCTGCTCAGGTGACAGAGCCAGTACTGCATATGGTGTTCCAATGAGGGATTGAAATTCTGAATAAGAGAGTGTGATGGCAGACCTCTCCAGCACTAAAAACGCAGAGAGGGGTGCTTGGCTCCACTGAAGGACCCCTGGACTCTAGAATCTCAAGACCAGGCTGTGTTCCGTGACCAGGGTCAGGTGGCTAAATGTGTGAGCCTGTTGTGCACAGTCCTGGAAGCTTTTACCCCCACAGGCTCGCTCTGACGTGCTCCACAGTTTTCTAAAGGATACGGCCCTTAGGCTAAGATTGTAGAGTGGCCGTTTCAGGGTTTGTGGGCTCTCAATTTCAGGGCATATAGTCTGATCAGTCCTGACAAAAAGTTGGTCAGACCCACCTGTGCTCTCCAGGAGAGCTGAGTGTGGGG